AAAGGGGACTGGGAAGGGGGGGCTGGTCTGCCCTGCAGGGAGGGTGTTGGGGGGAAAGGGGGGCTGGGAAGGGGGGCTGGTCTGCTCTGCAGGGAGGGTGTTGGGGGGGAAAGGAGCTGGGAAGGGGGGCTGATCTGCCCTGCAGGGAGGGTGTTGGGGAAAAAGGGGGCTGGTCTGCCCTGCAGGGAGGGTGTTGGAGGGAAAAGGGCTGGGATGGGGGGGTTGGTCTTCCCCACAGGGAGGTGTAGAAAAAGAGGGGGCTTGGGAGGGGGCTGGCCTCTGCAGGGAGGGTGTTTGTGGGTTTGGCCTGGAGCTGGGAAAGGAAGGGATGGCCTTCCCTATAGGGAGAGTGTTGGAAAGGAGGGGGCTGGGAAAGAGGGGTGGGAAAAGGGGGTGCTTACCCCATAGGGCTGGAAACAGAAGGCTGGTCTGCCCTAGAGTAAAGGGATGTGAATGGGGTGGGGGGGGGTTTCTACTGACCGTCAGGGAGGGGGCTGGGAAAAGGCGGGGGTCTACCCTATAGATTTGGGAAAGGGGGCTGGTCTGCCCCACAGGGACAGTGTTGAAAAGAAAGGGGCTCCAAAGGGGCTGGCCTGCCCCACAGGAGGGGGCTAGGAAAGGGGAGGTTGCAAAGGAGGGGCTGGGCAAGGGAGTGCCTGCCCCACAGAGCTGGGAAACTGGTCTGCCCTGCAGGGGCGGTGCTGGAAAGGGGAGGGCTGGCCTGCAGATGGGAAGGAGGTTAATGCAGATTCAGAAAAGTGACCCATTGGGAAAGAAACCAGTTAATCTTCCCCAAAGGAGATTGATCAATCAATCTAATTAATCAGACCTGAAAGGGACCTTGGAGGTCTTCTAGTCCAACCCCCTGCTCAAGCAGGAGAGCCTATTGTTTCAGAAATGAGGCTGTCCAGTCTTTTCTTTTTTTAAAAAAAAAAAAGCTTTTTCAGCAGCCGGATTTGCTCAGCCTCTTAATCCCAACATCCCGCAGAATTCCTTGGATGGGCTCATCTCTTTTTCAGCCTGCTCCTAAAAGCCCTCTAAGCCAGAGTTGAGCCAGACACACACACAAACACACACACACACAAACACACAATCCATCAGCCGCACCATAGAAAAGCTTTGCTTCCAGGCCCCCAAATAAATATCTTTTTTTCCCTTTTTTCTTTTAACAACTGAGCTGCCAGATGGCTTTTAAAAATTCCTGCTGACAAATCCGGAACCCGCTGAGAGCATAAATAGGGGATTAAGGATGGGCGCTAATGCCCTTTTGCTGCTGTCGCCTTGATACCCATCTCTATATTTGATCGGTTTTTTTAGGAGGTGGGGGAGGTAAAATAGTGAATCCGTTAAGCAGGAGAGTGTGTGAATCTGGCATTAATCCACTGGCTGGATTGGGGTTGAGGTTGAGAATCCTGCGGCAGAATCAGATATAATTTTGTGTTGTGGGTAGGTAGAATTCTTGCTGGATGGAAAGGGGACTCAGCTGTTCTGCACTCTGGGGTTGTTTTTCCCTGCTGTTGTTGACTTATTTTATCTCTCAGTGATGAAGTGATAATGGCACGGGAGGTTTTTAAGAAGAGACTGTACAGCCGCTTGTCTGAAATGGTCTAAGGATCTCCTCTTGAGCAGGGGGCTGGACTAGAAGACCTCCAAGGTCCCTCCCAGCTCTAATCGGATTTGGATTCCGACACCAAGGACAGAGGTTTTGTTCCCACACAGCGCATCGGCTTCCCTGTAACATTGTCTGTTTCCTTCGCAGCCCCCACGATGACCACCCTGGACGACAAGCTGCTGGGAGAGAAACTCCAGTACTACTACAGCAGCAGCGACGAGGAGGAGGACAGCGAGAAGGACGACAACGAGGAGTCCCCCCCGGGTCACGATGCGGTGATGCCGGAAGAGGTGGCCCTGAGCGCCGATGGCAGCGCCATAAACACAGGTACCTCCTCCCTCCTTTGAGACCCTCCTGTCCGTCTCCATCCAGGTCACGTCTGCAGGAGTCTGTTACAGGTAGTCCTCAATGTACGACGGTTCACTTAGTGACTATTTGAAGTTACAACGGCACTGGAAAAAAGTCACTTATGGCCGTTTTTCACACGACCGTTGTAGCCTCGCCCTGGTCACGTGATCGAAATTCAGGCGCCCGGCAACTGACTCGTACTTAGGACGGTTGCATAGTGTCCCGGGGTCAGGTGATCAAAATTCAGACGCTTGGCAACTGACTCGTATTTATGACGGTCGCAGTGTCCCAGGGTCACGTGATCGAAATTCAGACGCTCGGCAACTGACTTGTACTTAGGATGGTTGCATAGTGTCCCGGGGTCACATGATCGAAATTCAGACGCTCGGCAACTGACTCGTACTTAATGACGGTTGCATAGTGTCTCGAGGTCAGGTGATCAAAATTCAGACGCTCGGCAACTGACTTGTACTTATGACGGTCATGGTGTCCCGCGGTCCTGCGATGCCCTTTTGCGACCTTTTGACAAGCAAAGTCAAGGGGGAAAACCAGATTCACTTTACAGCCGTGGGACTAACTCAGCCCCTGCGGTGATTCATTTAACAACGGCAGCAAGGCAGGTTGTAAAACGGGGCCAAACGTACTTCACAAACGTCTCGCTGAACAGCAGAAAATGTGGGCTCGATTGTGGTCGTAAGTTGAGAGCGTTTGGTTTCACTCCATTGGCTTTGCTTCTCAGCAGGTCGCAAAAGGGGATCGCCTGACCCACCTGGGACACTGCAACCGTCACAAGTACATGCCAGTTGCCAAGCCTCTGAATTTTGATCATGTGACCCTGGGGACGCTGCGACGGTTGTTAAGTGTGAAAACGGGGATAAATCATTTTTTTTCAGTGCCGTTGTAACTTTAAATGGTCACTAAATGCACTGTTGTAAGTCGAGGATTGCCTGTAAATATTTCAGTCTTTTTAGGGTTTCATTTCAATCCTTACTAGACGGCCATTTTGTTTTTTGTTTTTCTTCTTATTGGGCCTCTCCGTTTTCCAGCCTTTTCTGTCTCCATGTCCCCTCTTAGACCCAGTTTTTTTTTATTGAATAATAATGATGATGATAAAGTTGGAAGGGACCTTGGAGGTCATCTAGTCCAACCCCCTGCTCAGGCAGGAAACCCTATATACCATTTCAGACAAATGGCTGTCCAGTCTCTTCTTAAAGACTTCCAGTGTTGGAGCATTCACCGCTTCTGGAGGCAGGTTGTTCCACTGGTTAATTGTTCTAACTGTCAGGAAGTTTCTCCTTAGTTCCAGGTTGCTTCTCTCTTTTTGTTCACAAAAAGATTCGAACCCAGGCAGTTTCCAGTCCTCCCCCCTCCCCTCTTTAAAACCTCCCTGTAGTTGGGTGGTGCTTTTTTCTTTCTTTCATTTTTTTATAAATTTTTATTGAGTAAACATTTAAAAATAGGTTGAACACAGTGTGGCTTTTCTGGCTGTTATTTTGCCATACATACTATACCATATACCATATATCTCCCTATTCGTCGATCTTTTATACCATTTACGTATTGCATTTTATACTATTTACATATTTACATATTTGTTACTTAAGATTCTAAAAATAAAAAGGTGATTCCTGGGTAAATTCATATTCAGCAATCACAAATCGCAAGACCACCAGGAAATTCTTTAAAACCTATAAAAAGTTTTAATAAAATTTAAAACACCAAGCTTTCGCTGGCTCACTGCCAGCATCATCAGGGTAACATGTAGTCGATGGGATGGCTACTTATAGGAGTGGTGCCTTTTGCACCCGGCTCCTGGACCTCGTGATCGGGCCCAATCGATCCACCTGCGTTTGAGTTCTAATCATCGTATCAAAAGGCACCACTCCTATAAGTAGCCATCCCATCGACTACATGTTACCCTGATGATGCTGGCAGTGAGCCAGTGAAAGCTTGGTGTTTTAAATTTTATTAAAACTTTTTATAGGTTTTAAAGAATTTCCTGGTGGTCTTGCGATTTGCAATTGCTGAATATTTACATATATATTTACTTTTTTCCCCCCCTCAGGCCCTAAAGGGGTGATCAACGACTGGAGGAGGTTCAAACAGCTGGAGACGGAGCAGCGGGAGGAGCAATGCCGGGAGATGGAGAGGCTGATCAAGAAACTCTCTATGACCTGCCAGTCACACCTGGATGAAGAGAAGGACAAGCAGAAGCAGAAGGAGCTGCAGGAGAAGCTGAACGACAAGGTAAAACTCCTTCCCCCCCGTTCCTCTCGGGCGGATTTCCCAACATTGGCAGTGTTTCCGCAAAGGGGGGGAGAAATGTATTTATTACAGGTAGACCCCAAGGGAGCCCAACATTTCTGCCCTTAAGTGAGATGTTTCTTAAGTGAGTTTTGCCCCATTTCCCGACTTTTCTCACCACCGTTGATAAGTGGATCGCTGCGGTTGTTAAATTAACAACACGGTTGTGAAGTGAATCTGGCTTCTTCCCCGTTGACTTGGCTCGTCAGAAGGTCGCAAAAGGGGACCACGTAACCCGCCTGAATTTTGATCACGTGACCTATAGTGATAGTAAGGGGGAAAACCGGTCACAAGTCACCTTTTTCAGTGCCGTTGCAACTTTAAACGGTCACTAAATGAACTGTTGTAAGTTGAGAATTGCCTCCAGAAAGCGTGGGCGCTCCATCACTGGAGGTTTTTAAGAAGAGACTGGACAGTCACTTATCTGAGACGGTATAGGTTCTCCTGCTTGATCAGGGGGCTGGACTAGAAGACCTCCAAGGTCCCTTCCAGCTCTATTCTATTCTATTCTATTATTCTATTCTATATTCCATTCCATTCATTTTCTATTCTGTTCTGTTCTATATTCTATTCCATATTCTAATTCTATTCTATTCTATATTCTATTCCATATTCTAATTCTATTCTATTCTATTCTACTTTATATTCTATTCTATATTCCATTCCATTCATTTTCTATTATGTTCTGTTCTACATTCTATATTCTATTCCATATTCCACATTCCACATTCTATTCCATATTCTAATTCTATTCTATATTCTATTCCATTCATTTTCTATTCTGTTCTATATTCTATATTATATTCCATATTCCATATTCTTACTCTATTCTATTCTATTTTATTCTATTCTATCCTACCTGTATTTATTTATTTCTAAAATTTATTAGCCACCCACCTTGTCACACAGTAACTCTGAGTGGCTTACAATATTAAAATCCCAGTCGGCAGCCAACGCTTATGTCATGGTTCTGAAAGAAAAAGCTCTTCAAAGAACTTTGAGGCATTGTTTACCTTAAAGATGCGCTCACCTGCATCTCACCCTTTTAATTATGGATTTAACAATCCAACCGAGCAGACGTATCTCTAAAAACTCTCCAGAGGCTTGAAATCCTCCCTTTCTGAGGGTGGCTGAGCTGATTCTCGGCCAGATCTTGATCTTCCTCCAGGGGACACCTGAGAAAAGTTGGCTTGGAGAGAAAAGAAAGAGTTGCACTAAGATTCTCTGATTCTCACCCAGCCTTGGGTTTCAGGAATTGAGGCCAAGCTTTCATAGAGGTAACCAAAGGAAAAGAAAGATATGCAGGAACTCAGATATGTCTAACCCAACAGAGAGAAAAAATAGGGAGGTGATATGATAACAGCGTTCCTGTACTTGAGGAGGGGATCAAACCGATCCTCCAAAGTACCCGAAGGCAGGACAAGAAGCAAAGGATGGAAGCGAATCAAGCAGAGAAGCAACCTGAAAATAAGGAGGAATTTTAGGACAGTGAGAAAAATTAATGAGTGGAAATGCTTCTCTTTGGAAATGGCGGGTGCTCCATCACTGGAGGGTTTTAAGAAGAGACTGGACATTTCATTTGTCTGGAAGGATATGGGGTCTCCTGCATGAGCTGGGGGGTTGGACTAGATGATCTCCAAGGTCCCTTCCGACTGTTGTCATTCTGTTCTGTATGAAAGTGTTTCCTGCATGAGCTGGGGGTTGGACTAGAAGACCTCCAAGGTCCCTTCCGACTGTCATTCTGTTCTGTATGAAAGTGTTTCCTGCATGAGCTGGGGGGGTTGGACTAGAAGACCTCCAAGGTCCCTTCTGACTCTGTTCTTCTGTATGAAAGTGTCTCCTGCAGAAGCTCAGGGGTTGGACTAGAAGACCTTTAAGGTCCCTTCCGACTCTGTTCTTCTGTATGAAAGTGTCTCCTGCAGGAGCTCAGGGGTTGGACTAGAAGACCTCCAAGGTCCCTTCCAAGTCCATTATTCGGTTATGCTTCCTGATTCTTTGCAGGCTTCCTTCTCTCGTTAGCATTCATGCCCCCATCCCCCCAGGCAACAACTGTGCAGGCATCCAGGCACGATCTCCCCCCCCTGCCCTCCTCCCGCCCGTTAAAAGCTGTGGCCTCTTTCTTCCCCTCCCCGCAGCTGGCGCTGCACCAGGAAACGGACGACGAGGAGTTCCTGCAGCAGTACCGCAAGCAGCGCATGGAGGAAATGCGCCAGCAGCTGCACCCGGGCCAGCAGTTCAAGCAGGTCTTTGAGATCCACAGCGGGGAGGCCTTCCTGGACACGGTGGACAGAGGCAACAAGAAGACGCTGGTGATGATCCACATCTACGAGGACCACCTCCCCGGGGCCGAGGCCCTGGACGGCTGCATGCTCTGCCTGGCCGCCGAGTACCCCACGGTGAAGTTCTGCCGGGTGCGCAGCTCCCTGATCGGCACCAGCTCCCGCTTCACCGGCAACGCCTTGCCGGCCCTGCTGGTCTACAAGGGCGGGGAGCTGATCGGCAACTTCGTCCGCATCACCGACCAGCTGGGCGAAGACTTCTTCGCCGCGGACTTAGAAGCCTTCCTGCAGGAGTTTAGTCTGCTGCCGGAGAAGGACGTGGTGCTCTACACCTCCATTTGCAGCGCTGCCGCCTGCTACGGCGAAGACAGCGACTTGGAGATAGACTGAGGGACGCCAGAGCGTCGGGCCCTTGGTCCCCCCACTCTCCAGGGGCCCTGGCTAGTTTGTAAAGGGTTCACCTCGGAGCTCCCCCCCCCCCAAAAAAAAACCCCATCTGGCAGGTCTGGCTGCTGCTTTGGTGGGGGTCTAGGGCAGGGGTAGGCAACCTTGGACTTCAACTCCCAGAATTCCCGAGCCAGCCATGCTGAGGGGAAAGGGAGAGGTTTCCAAGCTGAGCCATGCGGGCTCAGGAATTCTGGGAGTTGAAGTCCACGAGTCATAAAAGAGCCAAGGTTGCCTACCCCTGTCGTAAGTCCTCCTGTTCTAAGCGGTGAGCCTCCTAGACCAGGGGTAGGCAACCTTGGCTCNTCTGGGAGTTGAAGTCCACCAGTCATAAAAGAGCCAAGGTTCCCCACCCCTGATCTAGATCATGATTTGATGAGTTTAGATCAGGGGTAGGCAACCTTGGCTCTTTTATGACTCGTGGACTTCAACTCCCAGAATTCCTGAGCCAGCCACGCTGAGGGGAAAGGGAGAGGATTCCAAACTGAGCCGTGCTGGCTCAGGAATTCTGGGAGTTGAAGTCCACGAGTCATAAAAGAGCCAAGGTTGCCCACCCCTGGTCTATGACAACTTGCCGCGGCCAAAACTCACCACGGACAACTCGCCAGGGACAAGCGTTACGGTGACCTCAAAGAAATGGTGGAATAGAACCATTAAAAGACAGGATGCAAACGGAGGCTGAAGCCGAACCGGGAGGGAAACGTGAATGGCCAAAGTTAAAATCATTTTTATTGATTTCAAATAATGAAAGAGAAGGGTTAAATTGTCCTACGGCGGATTGTCCTGTAGCGGGTTGGCCGTGGCGAGTTGTCCCATTCTCCTTTTGGTGGCCTGCCCTGCTCCTGGGCACTGCGTAGTTTCAGAAATAGGCCTTCCAGTTTTTTAGTCCCATCACGGCTGCCACCCAAAGCCTTGACCTGTGGGCAGTGGGTCAGCCCCACAGCTTTCCTTGGAGAGAGGGGGGGGCGTCTCATCTTTTGCTTAACCTGACAGTGATGGACAGGACGTGGACGTCTCTGGAATTGCTCCGGGTGGTGGCCGCTCCCAGCCCTGTTACCTTTTCCGTCCCACGAAGAGTTTTTTTGGAACTGTCGGTCTTCGTCTCGCCGAATGTGGCTGTCCTGGGGGGGGGTCTCACCCTCTCCTCCCCCCCCTCTCCCCTCTTGTGCAGATTGACTGTGGAAGTTTTCTTCACGCCTAGCAAGAACTTAAAAACGTTTTCTTCATGCAATAAAAGATTAAAACCCGAACTTTTCTAACGGAGTAGTCGCTTGACCAAATCAAAGTGGGAAAAGGCCATCCTGGGCAAGGTGTGTTTTTTGGGGGGGAGGGAGGGTCATCAAAGCTTTGAGGCAATGAAGAAAAGAGAGGAAGAAGTGCCCCCCCCTAAAAAAGCTTTTCCTCTTGCATCAGTCGAGAGGCGGACTTGAAGCCGGAGGGAGCTCAAGATGACTCAGGACTACATTCCTGGCACGTTTTAGAAGGATGTTTGGAAGTTGCTACTAGTTTATCTTTGGCTTATCATAACAGGAAAAGGTTCTTGGGCACCAAATGCCCCAGGTGTAAGCCTGTTCAGTGGGGAGGTGGAGGGTGGGGTGATTGATATATCCGGTAGGGCAGAGACTGGCATAAGTCAACCCAGATAGACTTTGTCTAGCTAGATAACAGAGTTGGAAGGGACCTTGGAGGTCTTCCAGTCCAGCCCCCTGCTCAGGCAGGAGACCCTATACCAGGAGTAGGCAACCTCGGCTCTTTTATGACTGGTGGACTTCCAACTCCCAGAATTCCTGAGCCAGCATGGCTCAGCTTGGAAACCTCTCCCTTTCCCCTCAGCGTGGCTGGCTCAGGAATTCTGGGAGTTGAAGTCCACCAGTCATAAAAGAGCCAAGGTTGCCTATCTCTGGCCTAGGCCTAGGCTGCTTTATGACTCGTGGACTTCAACTCCCAGAATTCCTGAGCCAGCATGGGGGAAATATGGCCCCCTCATGACTGATGGACTTCAACTCCCAGAATTCCTGAGCCAGCATGAGGGAAACTTTGGCCCCCTCATGACTCGTGGACTTCAACTCCCAGAATTCCTGAGCCAGGATGGCTCAGCTTGGAAACCTCTTCCTTTCCCCTCAGCATGGCTGGCTCAGGAATTCTGGGAGTTGAAGTCCACCAGTCATAAAAGAGCCGAGGTTGCCTACCTCCGGCCTAGGCCTAGGCCGCTTTATGACTGGTGGACTTCAACTCCCAGAATTCCTGAGCCAGCACGGCTCAGCTTGGAAACCTCTCCCTGTCCCCTCAGCATGGCTGGCTCAGGAATTCTGGGAGTTGAAGTCCACCAGTCATAAAAGAGCCGAGGTTGCCTACGCCTGCCTTATCCCACTTCAGACAAGGGGCTATGGAGAGTCTCCGTCATCCAGGTCAAAGTTCCAAAGGTGTTTTTTCAGGACTTCCTTGGGTTTTCTTTGAAGACCTTTCGCTTCTCATCCCAGAAGCTTCTCCAGCTCTGACTGGATGATGGGGGAATGGAAGGATTTATACTCCTTGCAGACCGCTGGTCGTTTGCCTTCTTTTAGACTAGAGGAGCCGTTTCTGAGCAATTCAAGAGCCGAGTTTTAGTTATTTTGCTGAAAGGCCCGTTTCCCAACAACTCTGCGTGTTTATCGATGATTTATTGCCTCTACAATGCCAGGAAGGAGAGGTTCTCCTCTGCAGGAACCCGTCTGCCTGGCGCTTCCTCTGGGTTAGGCAAGGAGGCAGCGCCCTTAACAGCGGACGGGCGCTCTGCAGATGCATTGGTGACTCAGGCAGTAAATATTTGTTTACATGCGCTAGTAATTCAGACAGTAAACATTTGCTTATGTCCCTCGTCCCCTCGGCGTGAAATGAAGCCTTGCAGCTGCTGACACAAACCCCTGGAGCCCCAGGGCCTGCCTGGGTTGCAACAGCTGTCCCCAGCTGTGCCCTCCGGATGGATCATGCTCCCTCCTCCCCAGCCAGTGTGCGCAGAGCGGGGATGATGGGAGCGGAAAGGTAGCAATCCCGGAGGGGGCGGCAGGTGCCACACCTGCGACCGACAGGAAGGTGTTGACGTCGGGTTGAGAAATCCCATCAGGTCTTCTGGCCTGTCAGAATCCAGGCGGCAGAGGCTGGTTTCTCTCTGCCCCACCCAAAGAGGGAGAAGCCACACCAGTGTGTTTAACACACATACAGTACAGAGAGAGAGAGAGAGAGAGAGGCCCTTTGGTTGAACTTCAGGAGGGGTTTTTTTTAAACAGAAAAGGATTGAACAAGGGGCTTGTAGTGGTAAAATTAAAATTTAAAGAGAACAACACCACCCCCTCTCTCTCTGTCTCCCTCTCTCTGTCTCTTCCCCTCCCTCCCTCTTTCCCTGTCTCTTCCTCCCTCTCCCCGTCTCTTCCTCTCCTTCCCTCCCTGTCTCCCTCCCTCTATCTCTCTGTCTTCCTCCGTCTCTCCTCCTTCCCTTCCTCTCTTCCTCCCTCTCCCTCTGTTTGTCTCCCTCTCCCTCTCTCTCCGTCTCTCTCCCTCCGTCTCTTCCTCCCTCTCTCCCTCCCTCCCTGTCTCTTCCTCTCTCCCTTTGTCTCCCTCTCTCCCTCTCCGTCTCTCCCCGTCTGTCTCCCTCCCTCTCCCCCTGTCTGTCTCTCCGTCTCCCTCCCTCTCCCTCTCTCTGTCTCCCTCTCCATCTCTCCATCTGTCTCTCTCCCCCTCTCCGTCTCTCTCCCTCCGTCTCTTCCTCCCTCTCTCCCTCCCTCCGTCTCTTCCTCTCTCCCTTTGTTTGTCTCCCTCTCCATCTCTCCCTGTCTGTCTCCCTCCCTCCCTCTCCCTCCCCGTCTGTCTCCCTCCCTCTCCCCCTCTCTCTCCGTCTCCCTCCCTCCCTCTCCCTCTGTCTCCCTCCCTCTCTCCGTCTCTCTCCCTCCCTCTCCCCCTCTCTGTCCGTCTCCTCGTCTCCCTCCCTCTCCGTCTCCCTCTCCGTCTGTCTCCCTCCCTCTCCGTCTCCCTCCCTCCCTCTCTCCCCCTGTATCTCCCTCTGTCTGTCTCCCTCCCTCCCTCTCTCATCTTTTTAGATCTCTGCTACCTGAAGTAAGTTATGCAAGTAAGTAAGTAAGTTATGGAAATGCATCCCAATTCCATGCAGGCAAATTTGCATTGCCATAGCAGCCAGGAGGAGCACTCCCCCCGCCCCCTTCCAAGCTGTCCGTTTGGGTGCTGAAGGGCCACATTGAACATTTTCAGCGTCCAAGCAAGCGGGACTGCTGCACCGGCTGACTTCTGCAGGTGGCCAGGAGGGCAAGGCGAGGTGGGCACGCACAATGTGAGGGGTGGTCTTTACAGGCAGGCTTGTATGCTCAGGAGACAGGAGGGTGATCGGCACCCCCTGCCAGACAAGCGGCTTGAGGCCTGGGTGACACCAGTGGACCAAGGGAGAGGTTGAAAGTCAGCGGTGCAAAGCAAATAGGATTTTTTCCATTCGTTTGGTTCCTTGGGCAAATGCATCCGAGTGGTTTAACCCTCCTGGGCCAGCTGGGGGATGGCAGGAAGTTTTCCTCCATATCGCCCGGTTCATCTGAATCTTCCCGGGAATGTATTGATTCTGGAACAGAGCTGGGAGAAATAAGAACTCAGGTCTCTTGCTTCGAGCGGGGGGGGGGGGTTGGACTAGAAGACCTCTCAGGTCCCTTCCAGGCTTAGGATTCTTATGTTCTGTTAAAGGCAGGGATGGCTATTGGGGCAAGCAGCCCTTAAGACTAAGACCCTCCCCTTGCTATCTTCTAGCTCAGGGGTCTTCAAACGTGGCCCTTTTATGACTTGTGGACTTCAACTCCCAGAATTCTTCAGCCAGGCACGCGTGCCTGGCTGAGGAATTCTGGGAGTTGAAGTCCACAAGTCATAAAAGGGCCACGTTTGAAGACCCCCGGGTCTGCATAGATCATCTTCCACTTTTGTTGAGAACATGGTCTCCAGAATTAGTAGGAGATACACTTTCTCTACATCCGGGCTACCACTTTGCCTGGCTGAGGAATTCTGGGAGTTGAAGTCCACAACTCATAAAAGGGCCACGTTTGAAGATCCCTGTTCTAGATGATCCTCGGGATATTTCTAGGACTAAATCGGGTCTCCAAAGATGTGCCTGTGTGGTTCTTGACTGATGTCAAAATCTACACCGGACAGTAGTCTAGTTTTTGACCCTCTCCTGAGATTGTGATGTCGGTGGGGCTTGACTTCCTGTTGGAATAGATCTTGGAGGCCGTCCAGGACCCCAGACTCCACTCCAGAGTCTTCCCCAACTGGTGCCCCTAACCAGAACCCTTCCACCCCTTACTTCTTTCCTTTGCTGTTTGAGAAGCTCCATCTCTCGTCTGTGGTCAGCCTGTTTTGCTGTAGATTTTTTTTGTTTTGTCTTTTTAATCCAGAGATAAGAGGATGAGGCCACGGTTACTTGCATGTGATTGTGCCAGCCCTGATGTACATCATTTCTGAATTCGCTGGTGGAATCGCACAAGGGCTGCCACATCCTGGCCCTATTTTGTGGCTGCAGCCAGAGATCATTCCCTCATCACACCTCTATATAATGCCTTTTTTTAATGCCTTGGTAAGGCCACACCTGGAATACGGCATCCAGTTTTGGCTACCACGATGTAAAAAAGATGTTGAGACTCTGGAAAGAGTGCAGAGAAGAGCAACAAAGAGGATCAGGGGACTGGAGGCTAAAACATATAAGGAACAGTTGCTGGAATTGGTTCTGTCTAGTTTAATGAAGAGAAGGATGAGGGGGGACATGATAGCAGCATTCCAATATTTGAGGGGCTGCCCCAAAGAAGAGGGAGTCAAGCTATTCTCCAAAGCACCCGAAGGCAGGACAAGAAGCAACGGATGGAAACTAATCAAGGAGAGAAGCAGCCTAGAACTAAGGGGAAATTTCCTGACGGTGAGAACAATTAATCAATGGAACAACCTGCCTCCAGAAGTTGTGAATGCTCCAACACTGGAAGTTTTTAAGAAGAGCAGAGGGTTGGACGAGAAGACCTCTGAGGTCCCCTCCAATTATTCTATTCTATTCTATTCTATTCTATTCTATTCTATTCTATTCTATTCTATTCTATTATTATTTTCCCTATTCTATTTTCTCTATTCTATTTTATTCTATTCTATTCTATTCTATTCTATTCATTCTCTATTCTATTCTATTTTCTATTCTATTCTGTTCTATTCTTCATTCTTCTATTCTTCATTATTCTATTATGTTCTTCATTATTCTATTCTATTCTATTCTATTCTATTTTTATTCTATTCCTCGTCCTCATTCCAGATAAGCATCCTGAAAAGAGCAGCAGTGGGGCAAGAGATAGGGATCCAGCTTGTTTGCCACAAGCATCCAATAAAGGGAGACTGCTTCCGATCTCATGCTCAGATGGGGTAATGCAAACACCCCACACCTCAAACGCTGGAAAACCACAAAGTTGGTGTACAGTTTTCAAAGATGTGGGTGCCAGCGTTACTGAGAGGCCCTCTTAAGCGCACCTGGATTCCAGCCTCTTTGCCAGGTGAAGAAATGCCAATTTAGGACTAGCTCAGCCAATCGTCAGAAAAAGTTTTCCGTTTTATTTTGAACCTCTCCTTTTTCCCCACGTGTGTCGGTTTCCTCCTCGCCCCCCGGCGCAAAGGCACACAGCTGCATAAATAAATTTGAAAGCAGAGATGGAGGCGGTCGCCAAACTCTCACCTAGAGCAGGTTTGGTCCTGCCCAGTTCCTTTTGCACAACTTGTTCTGCCTCTAACGTCCCGGGAGCAGCTACGAAAGGCAAAGATAAAAGAGGGCAGAAGGGGAGGGGAAGTGAAGACCACCGGGTGATCTGGCCAGGGATGGATTCCTTCCAGTCAATTGAGCTGGTGCTTCCTCTCCTCTCTGGACAGGATCCCCGGAGGCATTTGCAGAACGTGAGGAGCGGGAAGGGACGTCTAGGCACCCATCTTAGTGTCTTGGCAAATGGGCAAGGGGTGGAGGCCGTGGAGAATGGCCAGGGGAGGGCCAGCAGAGGAGGAAAGCTGGCTGTAAATCGGCTGAGGAGGATGGCTGGGGGGCGAAGGGGACGCGACCAATGGTGGACGCCTGAACATCCTAAATCAGTGGTGGCGAACCTATGGCACGCGTGCCAGAGGCGGCACTTGGAGCCCTCTCTGTGGGCACGCACGCTGTTGTCCCAGCCCCGCCTCCTACACCCCCCTCCTCACAGCAGCCCCCCCAGAGGAGAGTCGCCCCCGAGCACGGCCCACACGGAGCAGCGCAGCCAAGCACATGGCAGCAGGGACAAGACTCCACCCTCACACGCCCGTCGCACGTAGATGATGCTGCAGGGCGCGGGAGGAGGGCATGGCCGCCATGATGCTGCTGGGCCGCCTGGGCGATCTGCTACGGCAGGCCGTGAAGGCGGTGGGTGGTCCTGCGGGCGAGTGGGGTGGGGGCATAGCAGGGGCAGGGTTGGGGGACGGAGCGGGTTTTAGGCACTAGGTCTCTAAAAGGTTCGCCATCACTGTCCTAAACCATGAGGAGGGGGGTAGGTTACAAGCTGAGGGAGACAGGCCACAGATCCACACACACACATACACGCACTCATTTTCCTTCTTGCTCTTCCGTCATGACCTCCTGGTCTCAAAGCCTGGAGGACTTGAGTACAGGTCGTCCTCGACTTACGATCAAATTTTTGTAGCTAAGTGAGACATTTGTTCGCTGAGTTTTGCCCCCGTTTTACGATTTTCCTTGCCACGTTTGTTAAGCGAATCGCTGCGGTTGTTTAAATTAGTCGCGTGGTCGTTACGGGAACCTGGCTTCCCCCATGGACTTTGCCTGTCGGGAGGTCGTAAAAGGGATCACGGGATTCCCCCGGGACGCTGCAACCGTCGTAAATGTGAACCAGTAGCGAAGGCTCTGAATTTTGATCACGTGATCGTGGGGACGCTGCAAAGTCGTAGCTGTGAAAAACGGTCCTTAGGTCACTTTTTTCCCCAGTGCCGTTGTGAGTTTGAGCGGGCACTAAACGAACTGTTGTAAGTTGAGGACTACCTGTATAACTCGACCGAAGAGAGCCTGGTTAGAGCTCCGTTGAAGGTCGCTGCTTCTCCTCCGGGCTTTCAGGAGCCTCTCCGTGGTCGGGCGTGTGGAAAGCCACGTAGGGACACTGCTTGACGTTCAGGCAGACCAGTTTTTCCAAGCTTGCCGTGTTCACGATTCGGAAGCCGGCGGCACCACCAAAAGTGCTGGGCTTCCAGTATTCAGGGGAGCAGATGGGGTTCCCCAGGAGCCCCTTCAAAGAGAAGGGAGCCCCCATCTCTATCATGCTCTGTCCAAAGATGCCGTTGGAGTAGGTCTTCTCCACCAACAGGCCGGGGAAGAACTCCAGAGCATCAATGTCTCCATACAGTACTTCCAGTTTGGCAACCATGTTTTCATCATCTGCACCCAGGAGAGAAAAGAGAGAAATCAGGCAATGTGGCACCTCAGCTTGTGAAGGACCCACAAAGATTGTCCACACCTGGACATGGCTTTCCTGCTGCTCCACCCACTGTGGGAAAGCTATTTTGGAACAGCTGGACAAGCTTCTTGGATGAGAAGCAAAACGTCTTCAAAGTAAAAACAGGGAAGGGACCCGTTGATGTTTTCAATGCTCAACAAATGCTTTAGGGTGGAAGGAATTGCTACATCCACACTACTGTACAAGTCTATTTGGACAAGCCCTCAAAGAACTCTTCCTCTTCCTCTTCTTCTGTCATCCCCACAAATTCATCTTTAGAACCAAAGCACATCTTCCTTCCCCTGTCCTGACCACTTTCTAAGAGGGAGGATCGAGAGCATCCTGTCATACAGCATCACAGTCTGGTTTGGAAGCATCACTGCTTTGGACAGGAAGGTGGTGCAGAGAGTGGTGAGGACAGCAGAAAAGATGATTGGCAGTTCCCTCCCTTCCATCTTGGACATAGCACAGAAGCGTTGCTTCAAGCAGGGTCCGTAAGATTATCTGGGACACTACACATCCTCTTCACGACCTGTTTTCCCTGTTACCTTCTGGGAGGAGGGGGCTCCGTGGTATCTGAAGCAGAACATCCAGATTCAGTCCCAGTTTTGTTCCATACAATATAAACCTTGTGAACTCTCAAGCTTCCTCCTTCTGTTATATATTCAAGACGGACAGTGATTAATATTTATATGTTGCTTAAATGTAAGGGTGTAGGTCTATAGTCCAGAGGTAGACAACCTTGGCTCTTTTATGACTCATGGACTTCAACTCCCAGAATTCCTGAGCCAGCATGGCTCAGCTTGGAAACCTCTCCCTTTCCCCTCAGCATGGCTGGCTCAGGAATTCTGGGAGTTGAAGTCCACGAGTCATAAAAGAGCCAAGGTTGCCTATCCCTGGTTTATATATATGTTGCATATAGTATGTTTTAAATGTGTGTTGTGTATGTGTACACTTTGAGAGGAAGCAACTAAATTTCATTTTTAATGTGTGTCATTGTGCCCACAGGAAAAAATGACAATAAAGGTAATCTAATCTAATCAAAAACATTCAGTTTAGCTTTCCAGATAGGGACATGTCCTCATTCTTGTACCCAACATGGCCAAGGCAGTTCCTTCAAGAGGTTCATACATGGTGACAGCATCTCAAGAAGCTAAGTCAGCTTCTTGAGATGCTGGCCCCATGTATGAACTTCTTGAAGAAACTGCCTTGGCCATGTTGGGTACAAGAATGAGGACATGTCCCTCTTCTGGGGCTATTACCTGTCAGTTCCCGGAAGGACGTGTATGGCTTCAGATGGAACCTCTTTCGGTATTCATTAAAAGGCTGGAGACGCATCAGCCGCGATTCCTTGATAACTCCAATAGCCACCTTGAGAAGGTGCTTGTTGATATTTGGCTTCCCGCCGATCTGAAAAGGAGAGCCAAAGAAGGTCCTTTGTCAAGAACAATAAAAAAAAAAAAATTGCCTGATATAGACCGGTCTCTGGATCTACAGCCTGAGACATTCCTACTCTTCCAGCAGACCGTCAGAATCAGAATAGAGTTGGAAGGGACCTTGGAAGTCTTCTAGACCAGCTCTTTGCTCAAGCAGGAGACCGTAGACCAGGGGTAGTCAACCTTGGCTCTTTTATGACTCGTGGACTTCAACTCCCAGAATTCCTTAGCCAGCACGGCTCAGCATGGAAACCTCTCCCTTTCCCCTCAGCATGGCTGGCTCAGGAATTCTGGGAGTTGAAGTCCACGAGTCAAAACGAGCCAAGGTTGACTACCCCTGCCCTAGACCATTTCAGACAAGTGACTGTCCAGTCTCTGCTCCAGTGATAAAGTACCCACAACTTTTGAAGGCAACATCTGTTCCGCTGTTTAATTGTCTTCACTGTTAGGAAGTTTCTCCTTAGTTCCAGGTTGCTTCTCTCCTTGATTTGTTTCCATCCATTGTTTCTTGTCCTGCCTTCAGGGGCTTTGGAGAATAGCTTGACCCCCTCTTTTCTGGGGCAGCCCCTGAGATATTGGAATGCTGCTATCAGCAGTAGTCTTTTCTCTAGATTAGACAAACCCAATTCTTCATATGTTTTAATCTCCAGCCTTTAATCATATTAATCAGCAGCTGACTTGTGTTGCACAGGAAGCCACAAAAAACCTTTAGCTTGAACAGCAAAAGTTCCCCTTCTCTACCCTTCCAGAGGGGCATTTTCGATAAATTACATTTGGATGCCCCCCCAAATAAGTCACAAATTAGACTGAAAAAATAATAAGAGAAACGAGTGAGAGTTTAAATATTACCCGAATCCTCTTTAAAAAAAGAGACGGGGAAAAGTGTGTATGGAGATTCTCAGTCCTCCAGGTCATAGTTTTCCCAAAGATGTTTTTTTTTTTCAGGAGGCACCTGGACTTTCTGGTTTTTTCTTTGAAGATGTTTCGCTTCTCATCCCAGAAGCTTCTTCAGCTCTGACTGGATGGGGGGAGGAATGGAAGGACTTATATCCCTTGTAATCATCTGAGAGCCATTGAGGCCACTTGCAGCTTATAAACCCTTCCATTCTCCACCATCCAGTCAGAGCTGAAGAAGCTTCTTGGATGAGAAGAGAAATGTCTTCAAAGAAAAACAAGAAAGTCCTGGTGCCTCTTGAAAAAACACCTTTGAAAAAGGGAAAGAAGCAACTTAGATCAATCAGTGTAGAGCTAGAAGGGACCTTGGAGGTCTCTAGTCCAACCCCCTGCTCAAGCAGGAGACCCTAGATCAGTGTTTCTCAACCTCAACAACTTTACAATTTGTGGACTTCAAGTCCCAGAATTCCTCAGCCAGCATGCTGGCTGGAGAATTCTGGGACTTGAAGTCCACACATCTTAAAATTGCTGAGGTTGAGCAACACTGCCCTAGATCATTTCAGACAAGTGGCTGTCTCTTCTTAAAACCAAAGGAAGGGAGGGAGGGAGGGAGGGAAGAAGGAAGGAAGGAAGGAAGGAAGGAAGGAATGAATAACAGAGTTGGAAGGGACCTCGGAGATCTTCTAGTCCAACCCCCTGCTCAACAGGAGACCCTATACCAGGGGTAGGAAACCTTGGCTCTTTTATGACTTGTGGACTTCAACTCCCAGAATTCCTGAGCCAGCCATGCTGAGGGGAAAGGGAGAGGTTTCCAAGCTGAGCCATGCTCGGTCAGGAATTCTGGGAGTTGAAGTCCACGAGTCATAAAAGAGCCAAAGTTTCCCTCATGCTGGCTCAAGAATTCTGGGAGTTGAAATCCACGAGTCATAAAAGAGCCAAGATTGCCTACCCCTGGCCTAGGCCTAGGCCGCTTTATGACTTGTGGACTTCAACTCCCAGAATTCCTGAGCCAGCATGGGGGAACTATGGCCCCTTCATGACTCGTGGACTTCAACTCCCAGAATTCCTGAGCCAGCATGGCTCAGCTTGGAAACTTCTCCCTTTCCCCTCAGCGTGGCTGGCTCAGGAATTCTGGGAGTTGAAGTCCACGAGTCATAAAAGAGACAAGGTTGCCTATCTCTGGCCTATACTATTTCGTACAGGTGGCTGTCCGGTCTCTTCTTAAAAGCCTCTAATTGTCATGTTCAAATGGGACTTTTTGGCTAGGAGACGAAGATCGCTCAGAATTGGCACGTTTGAAGAAGAAGAAGAAGACGGGCTGGATGTAAGTCCCCCGCTCTGCAAGCAGACGCCCCCGGATCTTGCCCCTGACCCACCTGTCCAGCTCGCTGCTTGGAGAAGGCCTCTACCAGGGTCTCTATGCTGTAGTCGGTGAAAATGGTGCTGTTGAACAGGAACTGGTCGTAACTGTATTCTCTGTCGGGCAGCTGGAAGGACTCTGGCATTAAGGCGTGCCAGTGGTACAGCTGGTTGAACTCCAGAGCGATGCGGTTCTGGTACTGGAACTGGGCCCCAAAGAGAAGCTCAGGCTCAAACATCAGCTTCAAGTGGTAGCCGCTGAGATGCTGGACGTAATCCTCAATGACAATTTTGATCGTCTCACCTGGAAAGAGCAGAGGGAGGGAGGCAGGGAGGAGCACCACCCTTGTAGCCACGGCCAATTTAGAATTTTAACAGAGTTAGGAGGGACCTTGGAGGTCTTCTAGTTCAGCCCCCTGCTCAGGCAGGAAACCCAATGCCAGGGGTAGGCAACCTTGGCTCTTTTATGACTGGTGGACTTCAACTCCCAGAATTCCTGAGCCAGCATGGCTCAGCTTGGAAACCTCTCCCTTTCCCCTCAGCGTGGCTGGCTCAGGAATTCTGGGAGTTGAAGTCCACCAGTCATAAAAGAGCCAAGGTTGCCTACCCCTGCCCTATGCCATTTTAGACAAATTGGTTGTCCAATCTTTTCTTTAAAACGTCCAGTGTTGGAGCACCCACAACTTCTGGAGGCAGGTTGTTCCACTGGTTAATTGTTCTAACTGTCAGGAAGTTTCTCCTTAGTTCTAGGTTGCTTCTCTCCTTGATTGGTTTCCATCCGTTGCTTCTTGTCCTGCCCTCAGGCACTTTGGAGAACAACTTGACTCCCTCTTCTTTGGGGCAGCCCCTCAAATACTGGAAGACTGCTATCATGTCACCCCTCGTCCTTCTTTTCATTAAACTAGACATCCCCAATTCCAGCAGCCGTTCCTTATATGTTTTAGCCTCCAGTCCCCTGATCATCTTTGTTGCTCTTCTCTGCACTCTTTCTAGAGTCTCAACATCTTGTTTACATCGTGGTGACCTTACTTTTTTTTAACCTTACTCTTTTCACCATTGGATTTCATTTTGTTACGATAGTTTTTCAGGTGACAACTCAAGTTGTGCAAACATACACACACACACTGCAGGAAACGGCAGTGGCTGTGGAGGCATCTACAATACCTTCTGAAATAGCTAAGAGTTGGGACAATAATTAAATGCTAGCTTATTTACGTTGCCTGTTTGGGACTTCCTATGAACCCCAAAGCTCGCAATAGGTGGCTTGGACAACCTGCAGCCCCCTGCCCACCTGTCAGAATGAGCCGGGCGGTCTGGAACAGCTGCTCATCGTCCCAGATCGGGTGTTCCTGCTTCAGCAGGTCACAGACACGATTGTGCTCCCGCAGCCAGAGGGTGGCGTACATCAGGAGGCCTGGGAGAAGACCGAAGACCTCTTGGCCCATGGCAAACCTCTGCTCCGGAGGGGTGCCTTGTGGGTAGATCATGTGCACGGCGGCTTCCATCACTGTTGGGGGGTACATCTCTCCCTTCATCACCTGGGGAGAGAAGGACAAAGTGTCAACGCTGCAAATACTGTATATTCTTGCTTTGACAATATGCAGAACTGTCTGGTATTGTTGGGGTTAATGCAGAGCAGAAGAGGGTGGAGGGAAAAGCCCGGGAAAGAAAGAGGAAGGAAACCCTTGACCTTCACACTAATTGGGTAATGTGATATATGACAGCTAATTTAGGGAGGGGACATGCTGATAATTTAACTGCTCAGAGGAAGGGAACTTAGATCTTAGCACAGTGTTTCTCAACCTTGACAATTTTAAGGCATGTGGACTTCAACTCCCAGAATTCCACAGCCTGCAATGCTGGCTGTGGAATTCTGGGAGTTGAAGTCCACATGCCTTAAAATTGTCGAGGTTGAGAAACACTGTCTTAGCATAACCTTCCGTTATGCCTGTGCAGACATTTTGTAACAATAAATTACTTTTAGGAAAATCAATGCCTGGAAGTTCTTTGAAGTGTTTCACTAGCCAGAACCATAACACAAAGGATCACACTTAAGAGATGGGGAGAGCATCAGCCAAAAAAGCTAACACAATCCTTGGTTGTATAAACAGAGGCACAGAATAAAAATCACCTGAAGTATTAGTGCCGCTTTATAAAGCCTTAGTAAGGCCACACTTGGAATGCAGCATCTGGTTTTGGTGACCGCATTACAAAAAAAAGACGTTGAGACTTTGGAAAAAGTACAAAGAAGAGTAACTAAGATGATTAAAGGCCTGGAGACAAAAACCTATGAAGAATGGTTGCAGGATTTAGGTTTGGCTAGTCTAGAGAAAAAAAGGACTAGGGGGGACATGATAGCCGGGTTCCAGTATTTGAGGGGCTGCCACAAAGAAGAGGAGGGGGTCAACTTATTTTTGAAAGCACCAGAAGGCAAGGCAAGAAACAATGGATGGGAACTAATCAAGGAGAGAAGCAACCTGGAATTAAGGGGAAACTTCCTGACAGTGAGGACAATTAAACAGTGGAACAGCTTCCCTTCAGACATTGTGGGTGCTTCATCACTGGTGGCTTTAAAGAAGAGACTAGACATTCACCTGTCTGAAATGGTGTAGGTTCTCCTGCTTGAGCAGGGGGCTGGACTAGATGACCTCCAAGGTCCCTTCCAGATTCTATTCTATTCTAAATTTCCTGACAGTGAGAACAATTAACCGGTGGAACAGCTTGCCTCCAGAAGTTGTGAATGCTCCAAGATTGGAGATTTTTAAGAAGAGCCTGGACAGCCACTTGTCTGAAATAGTATAAAGTTTCCTGCCTAAGCAAGGGGTTGGACTAGAAGACCTCCAAGATCCCTCCCAACTCTTCTCTTCTCTTCTCTTCTCTTCTCTTCTCTTGTCTTGTCTTGTCTTCTCTTCTCTTGTCTTCTCTTCTCTTCTCTTCTCTTCTCTTATCTTCTCCTCTCCTCTCTTTTTTCTTCTCTTCTCTTCTCTTCTCTTCCATCCCATCCCATCCCATCCCATCCCATCCCATCCCAAGCATCATAGACGGACTTCCAGGCTTCCCCAGTTGTTGCCATCGGCTGTGCTGGATAACAGCTCTGACAAGGCTGTTATCAAACAATTGGCATCCCATCAAGGGTAGATTCAAGGCTTTGGGGTTTGCTGCACTCTTGCACAATATCATTTTTGTCTTGTGTTTCATTTGCTACAAAGAAAAATACACCTGGGCAGGCAAAGGAGCCCCCCCCTCCCATTGCTAAATTCCCCCCAAAGTAGAGGGTAGGCAGACCGGAGGGGGGGGGAGCTGGGAAGTTGCCTCTTCATCTTGGACTCCACCTGCCATCCTGGCTGGGAACGAACGCCAGAGTGGTCCAGCAAACGGGGAGGACTGTGAAAATGTGGGGAATTTGCCAGCATGCCCTATAGTGGGGTGGGGGGTGAAATCCATGGCCAGGCACAAACTCTCCCCCCCCCTCTGAATTAAGAGTTTCCACAGGCTGCCAGAGGCTTGTTGAACCTTTTCACCTGGTATTTCAGCTTCCCGTCCTTGAAGAGGCGCAGGTGATGCTGGCGTTCCAGGTTGTCTCCGTAGATGTGGCCAAGGTCCACCTGCAGGGGAGAGCTGACGTAACTATCGGTGAGTCGTTTCTCTGTCTCCTTTGGGTCTGTGCGAGCGTGTGTGTTTGTGTTGTGTGTGTGAGAGGGGGAGATGGCTCAGCACAGGCAGTCCTCGACTTACAATAAATCGTTTAGCGACCGTTCAAAGTCACAACGCCACCGAAAAAAAGGGACTCAGTGCCGTTTTCCACAGGTACGGCCTTTGCAGCATCCCCCACAGTCAGGGGATCAAAATTCAGATGATCAGGAGGGGGTTCGTGCTTATGAC